TACCCAAAGAATTTCTTTTAATATTTCTTATAATGTGAGTCACCTGGTAATGAATTCTTTCAGTTTTTGTTGTCTAAACATATTATTTCACTTTCACTCTTTAAATACATTTTTGCTAGGTATAGAATTCTAGATTGGCAGGGTTTTTTTTTTCCTTCTATACTTTCAGAGTATTGCTGTATTTTCTTTTTGCTTGCATTGTTTTCATGGAGAATTCTGTTGTCATCTTTAATTTGTTTCCTTCTATAACATGTGCTCTTTTTTGTTCTGAGTGATTTTACAATTTTATTTTCACTGCAAGTTTTGAGGAGTTTGATCATCAGATACTTTAGCTTCATTTTCTACATGGTTTTTGTTTTGGGATTGATTGAGCTTGGATCTGTAGGCTCATTTCCCTACTCCTCAATTTAGAGACTCTGATTTTACACATTGGGCTTCTTGAAGTCCCAGCATCTCAGTGATGATCTTTTCACTTAATTTAGATCAATTCTGACTTTGGTCTTTTTTATATCTTCCATATTTCTACTTAACTTTGATCTCATGTAATATAGTTATATTAATTATTTTAATGACACTGTCTACTAATTCTAACATCTGTGTCTATACTGACTCCATTTCAATTTACTGATTATTCTCACTGTGGGCCATGTTTCCTTGCTTTCTTGCCTATGTGGTAGTATTTAATTGGGCAATATTCTTTGTGAATTTCACCTTTTTGGATGCAAGATATCTTTGAATTCTTATAAATATCCTTGAGCTTTATTGTAAGACATAATTTTATTACTTGGAAACAGTTTGTATTCTTTTGGGTCTTGTTTTTATATTCAATAGGTGAGTCCTGAGCAGTGCCCCAGCTAGGGCTAATTATTCCCCACAACTGAAGAAAGATCTTTGTGATTATTCTACCCAATGCTCTGTAATTTAGTTTCTTTTTAGGCAAGTGGGAGGAAGCACTATTCCCAGCCCTATAAGAGCACAGAGGCAGTGCTCCCTATTCGCTCTAGCCTCAAGCTGCTATTCACAGGCATGCACTGATCACTACACAGCTGAGTACCTGGCAGAGATTTTCTGTAAATCTCAAGGATTTTTTTTGTCTTCATGTAGCACTCTGGTACTCTTTCAAACCATGTATCAGTTATTTTGACCTCATGACTCATTGTCTCAAGTCAGAGAGTTAGCTGTTTTTACCTGAATTCCTCTTCTCTGAGCTATAGCCTGGAATCTCTCTCAAGGCACTAAGCTTAGGGAATTGTAGGGCTTATCACATTTGTTTCTTGTCTTTCTTAGGTCATCTTTTATAACCTAATTCAAGTGTCTTAAAAACAATTGTTCCATATATTTGACAAATGAGGATATTCTGACTTCTTTTTCACCTTTTTTGAGGCTATTTCAGATTTGACTGCAAATACAGACTCTTTTACTTCATCATATTAGATTTTAATATGGACATGAATATAGTAACTGAATTCTTTTTTTTCCTCTAAAAAGCCCATGCTCTTTACTGTTATGCTATAATACATTATTACAGATATGTTGTGTTACTTTTAAAGAAAAATAAAAACACCTCTTCTTCTCTTACAGGGAATTATAAAGATATACAAGAGGTACTTAGAAGGTAGTTGGAGGCCTCACATCTCATTAAAGGAATAGAGAAAGTTGTCAGCTGTAAAGAGAGGTGTAGGAAGTATAAGTAATGGGAGGCTAAAGCCTGGGTCTGCAATTGAAGAGAGAGAGCCAGAAATACAATGAGGAATGAACAAGAGGGTTGCCAAGCAAATATTCACATCCAAGTTATGGTTGGACAGCGCAAACTTATAGTAAGCCAAGTTTGATAGTTCCAGCAAACACTGTAGCCCAGAAGCAGGAGCAAAGGACAGAAAACTGTGAGGATAATGTAGGGCTTGGTTCTAGAATGCCAAGAAAGGGGTGGGTCAGAGCAAGGGAGGATGTCAATAGAATGGAAGTAACAGAATTCAGGTAATTAAGTTGGGGGTAAAATAAAGCACCAGTTAGCCACTATGTGGGGACTATTTAATAATTTAAGAGACTAATATTCTAAAATATCAATATCAATATTTTGTGCATGAGAGGAAGAAAGGCAACAGATGACAAGTGAGGATATTTTGATTTTGAACAGTATTGAGTGAACTCAGGGATAATACTTTATTCTGTTACTTGTGGCACATGACTGATTAGAAGTGGAAATGAAAGTTAACAGAGGCAGAGGGGGATTGATCATGAGATCAACTATCTAGATGATAACAAAGTGTATTGAAAGGAATAATATTTATGAGCCAGAGTGCTGTAGAATTCCAGGTAGAGAGACACTAACAGAAAGGGGCTAGTGTGGACGCCCAGCACAATCCTCAGTGCTGAAGAGCTAAGGGAAGATGGTGAGTCAGTGAGGACTCTGGCCCTGGGCCAAAATCCTATGGGTAATCTTTCTGGCCAACCCATGGGTGATAACAAAGCTTTGACTCTCAAGTCGCATTGAAAAAATTTGCCCTTCCCACACCAAAGCTGGCGCCCAGCCAGTGCACTGCAGTTTTCTGGAAGGAACTGCAGCCAAGGACTCAATCCCTTATCCTTGGAACAGCCAGACATGCTCATATTCATATTTCATTCCTAACATAGGCACCTCCATTCAAAAACCTCCTTATTGAGGGCTTTGGTTAAGGTAATTTTCTCCACTTTAACTCAGTACATTTCCACTCCTATCCCTCACAGATACATGTGCACACACAGAGAAGCCTATAAAAAGTTGATAAGCTTTTGTTTAGGGCTCCTTGATAATAAGATGGTTTACTCTGTCTGTCCTAATCCAACTGACTCTTATCTCTGATCCATGGAAAGAAATGAAATACTAAAGAGCCAGTGATACTTCTTGCCCTTGCTTGCTCTATCACAGTACATGAATAAAGTCTTGAATGTTACTTTCAATTTGGCACATTGTCCTAATTGGCCACCTTGACATCTGGTTCCTCAATAGTCAGAGCCTAAAAAACTAACAATTTTCAAGCTTAAATGAGATTATTTCAAGCTCCACATATAACTAAAATTATGAAGCCTCTGCTAGTATCAGTGAAAAAATGCTGTATTTTCCTGATACTAAGTTTCACATAAAGATATTTTTCCTTTTTGAGTTTCTGCAAACTGAACAAGTCAAAAACAAAAACAAAAACAAAAAAACAAAAACAATTAGTGAGGTTAATCACAGCATTATTAGTAATTGTACATACAATGATATCAACTAGGCAAAATTGATGATTACTTAAAATGCCATGATAGAATATGTGGCTGATATTAAAAAATGTTTTTTACAGTGAGAAAGTTACTAATTTTATGTAACTTAGAGTATTGGATTCAGTGTGTATGTAACTCATGGCAGGCACATAGTAAAATTTATGATTTTTAACTAAGTTAAATACTTAGGCAGCTGTTTTATATTGAATTTGATCTTTGTCATTCATACATCAATCATTTATGCATTTTTCACCAAATATTATATGTCTACTACCTTATTAAGTCTTAAATAAAAAGATTAAAAATACATGGTCCTGACTTCAAAGAAATAACAGTGTTTTATACATGATTAGCTCTCTGATGAAGACCATCATTCAGTGTTGATAAAGCAGCTTTAATGAGAATGTACTAAAATCATAAGAGGAAAACAAAAAAACTTTTAAACATCAAATGTGATGGGTATAGAAGATGGTGAATGAATGTTGTACAATAAGAAAAAAATAAGGCCATTCTTTAAAGGTTCTTAGAACATAGCAGAAAAATAAATATTCTGCTTAGACTTCTATGTTTGTGTAAGGTTTTCCCCACTCTGATTATTTTTTCCAAACATTAGAGGTTTGTCTCTAAAACATTTCCTGTTTTCTGCTGTAAAAACCTAAATAAATAGTTCCTTCCCTATTTTCTTCTTCTCTTCCTCTCTCCCTACCTCTTTCTCTTCCTTCTTTTTTTATTATATTCAGTTTGAAAACCACCTACCTGAGGAGAGAGGGTAAATATTAAGTTTTTATCTCAGTAAAAACTGTAGCAAGAAATTCAGTAGGGGAACTCTTGACCTGGAAATACCTTATTATGTGTAGTGCAGTGGCTTAAAATTGGAAAAAGTGAAATAAAAATATAAGCTACTTATTCACATAGGATTTTTTCTTAGAAATGCTTAGTGACTTGCTTGACTTCAATTGCAGTACAAGAGTAAGATGAGTCCCCAGATATCAAATCAGAAGAAAAATTTGTCTAAATTTTTAAATACATAAATATATATAAGGTTTTTTTTTTGGCACTTTGAAGCTAGAAAACAAAAATAATCCCATAGACAAAGTGATTAAAACATTTTGAGACTGCCACTTATATATGTTTAGCATATCACAAACATAGCACTTAAGAAAAACAAAGATTATTTTTAAAACTAAGGGAAAACCTGGAGTCAAAATGGATTATATTGAAGAAACATTTTATATCTTTTGACCAATGGTTATCACAATTATCTTGCCATCTGGAAGAGTAATATATCCTTGTTAAATATTCTTGGCCTAAAAGCTAGGTTTAAATTACAGCTCTACACTCAGAGAAGATAAAAACAAAATCATCCATTCCAAAGGATGAAGAAAATTCACTCATTTTTCTTCCCTTTCCCCTCCCTTTCTTTCATCTATTCTTCCTTCTTTCCCACATTTTAATTCCCAAAAATGTGAGTGCTTATTATGTAGCAGACACTGAGTAGGGTGCTGATGTGATAGAAATAAAGAAAACAGATTTCTTGTTTTTAGAAAATCAGTTGCAAAAGACAAGCTGAAACATAGGAAATTGGTACAATGTAGTATGCACTATAAGAAAAGTTTAATATAAGTGTAATGAGAACCCAATATCTAGGGTCTAGGATCTATTAATCTTCCCGGGAAGATCAGAAAAGGCTTCAGAGGAAACATGATAATTTAGCTGTGTCATGAAATTTGAATGAGATGTTTCCAAATTACACTTACCCCAAGTTTCACCCATATGCCACAAGGTTCAAAGAAAGGAAAAAGTGCTCTCAGTTTTTGCCTCTGAGATCTTGACTCTTCTTGTCAAACTTTAGCTTCCCTTACTTCAAAATAACAGAACAGATGATGTTGACAGGGCCATGCCCAAGGCAGTAAAACCAGGAGAAGTTCCTTAAGAGAGAGTTCCAGCAAAGAGAGGGAAAGGAGAGGGCCCTCTGCCAAATACCAATATCCTCATAGCTTCTTGTCAAGCTTCTGCATTCATCAGGAAATAGAAAGCATAAATGTAAGAGAACACATATGAGAAACTATGGGCTAAGGAGCAGGGGAAAGAACAATGATCAACATCACAAAAGGAAGGCTGGTGATATATAATTATAATAATACCTTACATTTGCATAGCAGGTCATTGATTATCTTCATGATTAAATTAAAAAAGCATTGTTCTCTTACATTATGGAGCAGAAAAAACAATCACTAAGTATCTACGGAGGCTTGATTTGTTAAGTGCTTGATTCCTTTTTTTTTTTTTTTGCCAATTTTTTGATTCAGAAGCACATCCATAACCTGAAGTAATATATACCTGTAAATATAACTTATATCATCCAAAGTTGCCATATCTACCCTCTGAAAGTGCCCAAAGTACCCTCTGATTTTTACCCAAAAAAGGAGCAAAACCCACAACGATAAGGTAGTGCATCATAGAGCAAGGCCATGGGGCATATTCTACTCTCGTGTTTGATAAAAAATGCATTAGAGTGAAAGTCCAGCTCTCAATTTTTTCCTCTTCATTTTGTCTTTCTACACAAACCTTAAAATAATGCAGGCTTCCAGGATAGTAATAATCACTGTCCCTATATAATCAGTAGTATAAAACACCACTTAGAAGTATAGGGGCACCTAGGTGGCTTAATTGCTTAAGTGTCCAATTTCAGCTCAAGTCATGATCTCATGGCCTACATCAGACTGTCTGCTGTCAGCACAAAGCCTGCTTCAGATTTTCTGACCCCCTCCTCCTCTGCCCCTCTACCACTTGCATGCACTTGTTTGCACACACTCTCTCTCTCTCAAAAATAAAAGAAACATTTAAAAAAAAGAATAGAGGTATAATGAAAGGAATATTCAGGAAGTCTGTCCAATGCAAAATAACCCAAATGATTATCTACCAGACCAAAGGATACAAATTTCCAGTACTTGCCAACTTTACCCATTTGTGTGACAATCCACAAGTTTTACCATACTGGTGTATCACCTGCTTGGTTAATGTTCCTTTACCTTTGAAGTTTTGCTTTTTAGCCTAAATCAATTTATCTTAAAGGAAAATCCTATCTCTTACTTTAATTAGAAAGTCCAAAATAAAAATGACCAAAAAAAATCCCATTATTAAATTGGAGTGACATTGTTGTCTACTTCAAGCTCTTAGACTGATGCTGCTGCTTTCATTAAAATAGTATGCACACATACACATGTATTATACATAAAATTATATTCATATATAAATATATAGAAGTATATAAACATATATATACATACAAATATATATATATACATATATATATATTTGCCAATACTATAGAGGAAATGAAGATAGAAGGGCATCAAACTGAAACATTCCCTTTGATGATAACCAGAAGATGAGAGACAAAGGAAAAGAGCTTGCCCATTGTATGATTAATTGTATTTTAATATCAGTTCAACATATGACCTAAAACCATCTCTAACTTGAAGCTAATACTTTGGGTAACCTAACCTGGTAATTTTCTTCCTTCATGTACACATTATATAGGCAATGCTTAATACATATGTATTAAATATATGTTGAACATGTACTGATTATATTATGTCTTTAATACCTTTGACCAATTTACCTTTATAATTCTAACTGATAGCATATATTCTCAACACAAATGTACCAATTCCAAGCACAAAATAACTGGTAATAACTGAACAGTATTTGGATCTGTATGAACAGAACAAAAAAGTATGTATTCCTACCATTAAATTGAATATTAGGGATGGAGGGTCCTTTATACATTGTACTATGCAGAGTCAAATGAGATATATTCTATTTCTACTGTTCCATTAGCATGTTAGGATACTGAACTACAAAGTCTCACAAGAACTCAAAGAAAATATATCTTACTAATTGGCCATCATATCAATATTATGGAAGAACCCAGTGTTTCTTTATTAACTCATTTGCTTAGGAAAGCTCACCTTTATCTTACTAGAAATTTTAATTTAGATTTGCCCCTCAAATGACTATCATGCATGCTCAGTGTCAAAACTTCAGCTGTAATTATTGCTGAAATTTTTCATATATTCTGTCCATCTGCATCCAGGAAACATAAGATTGTACCACATTTTAAGAACAGTGTTTCTCTACTGCAATAAAAAAAATGTGTTTTACATGTTAATATTGGATTTCAGAAAACACAGGGGAAATATACCTTTAAAGAATGATAAACATCATTTTAATTTAGAAGCAACTATAATAGCATTGAAAACTTAATAAAGAAAAAATGATTTATAAATATCTTCTCCCATTCAGTAGGCTTCCTTTTTTTGGCTTCCTTCACTGTGCAAAAGCTTTTTATTTTGGAGTAGTCTCAATCATTTAATTTTGCTTTTGTTTCCTTTTACTGAAGACATGTATATAGAAAAATGTTTCTATGGTCAATGCCCAACAGATTACCATATATCTTTTTTTCTAGGAGTTTTATAGTTTCAGGTCTCACATTTAGGTCTTTGAGCCATTTTGAGTTTATTCTTTTCTCTGGTATAAGTGGTCCAGTTTCATTTTTCTATATGTTGCTGTCCAGTTTTCACAGCACCACTGGTTGAAGATCCATCTTTTTCCCATTGTATATTTTTGTTTCTTCTGTCATAGATTAGTTGACTATATAAGGATGATTATATTTCTGTGCTCTCTATTCTGTTCCATTGATCTATGTGTCTATTTTTTTTGCCAGTGACATATTGTTTTGATTACCACAGCTTTGGAATATATCTTAAAATCTGGGATTGTGATATCTCCAGCTTTATTCTTTTTTAAGATTGCTTTGGCTATACAGGGCATTTTGTGGTTCCGTACAAATTTTAGGATTATTTGTTCTAGTTCTGTGAAAAAATGTTGTTGGTATTTTGATAAGGATTGCATTAAGTCTGTAGACTACTTTGGGTAGTATGGATATTTTAACAATATTAGTTCTTCCAATCCATGAGCATGGAATATTTTTCCATTTGTTTGTGTCATCTTTTCAATTTCTTCCATCAACATTTTATGGTTTTCAGAATATAGATCTTTCACCTCTTTAGTTTATCTTTAGGTATTTTATTATTTTTGGTACAATTGTAACTGAGATTATTTTCTCAACTTCCTTTTCTGATACTTCATTATTAGTATATAGACATCAAGAGACTTCTGTATATTAATTTTGTATCCCAAGATTTTACTGAATTCCTTTATCAGATCTAATAGCTTTTCGGTGAAGTCTTTAGGGTTTTCTATATATAGTATCATGTCAAAATGGGAAAAGATATTTGCAAATGATATATCTGATAGGTGTTAACATGTAAAATATATAAAGAACTTATATAACCCAACACCAAAAAACCACAGATAATCTGATTAAAAATGAGCAGGGGATCTGAACAGAAAGAAGACACACAGATGGCCAACAGACACATGAAAAAATGTTCATTATTAATTATCAGGGAAATGCAAATCAAAACTACAATGAGATTCACCTTATACCTGTCAGAAATCTAAAATCAAAAACACAAGAAATAGCAAGTGTTGGTAAAGACGTGGACAGAAAGAAACCTTTGCACACTATTGGAGGGAATGCAAATTGGTGCACCCACTGTGAAAAACAGTATGGAAAATTTTAAATATTAAAAAAATCAAATCAAATATTTTATAATTTAAACAGAGAATTACCATATGATCCAGTAATTCTATTACTGGGTATTTACCCCCAAAAAATGAAAACACTAATTCCAACAGATATATGCACCTCTATGTTTATTGCAGCATTATTTACAATAGACAAGATATGGAAACAACCCAAGTGTCCATCCATAGATGAATGAATAAATAAAATGGATAAAGAATATTACTCAGCCTTAAAAAAAGAATGAGATCTTGCCATCTGCAACAATATGGGAAGATAAAGAAGGTATAATGCTAAGTGAAATAAGTCCATCAGAGAAAGAGAAACACCACAGGATTTCACTCATATGTGGAATTTAAGAAACGAAACAAACAAATAAAAAAGAAGAGACATACAAAAAACAAGACTCTTAAATACAGGTAACAAACTGTGGCTGCCAGAAGGGAGGTAGGTGGGTTGCAGGCCTGGGCAAAATGTATAAAGGAGATTAGAGAACACTTATCCTGATGAGCTCTAAATAATGTATAGAATTGCTAAATCAGTATATTGTATACCCAAAACGAATCTAAAACTGTATGTTAATTATACTTCAATTACAAAAAATATTTTTAAAAAATTAAAATTAAAAAAATCACAATTTCAAAGAAAAATGAGCCTAACATGTGATGCATTTTCATAGAGAATAAAATAAGAAAATGTATATTGGATGATCAGTAAGAAAAAGTCAGGTAAAAGGAAATAAATTTTAGAATGATACATACAGTTTAATATTAGGAGAAATTGCACACATACATATTAAGTTCTATGTAAAAGTAAGCTAGTATTTAAAAAAAATAATTAAAATAGGATAGGGATAGGGTTTTGGAGCAAAGCAAATACATGTCCCTATGTACTTTACTCTTATAAAAGTGTATAACACTTACAAATCATGTAGCTAACAAGTCCTGAAATTGCTCTGATTAAACTTTTTATGACCTCATTAGTCCAAAATTATCTAATCACTATTCTGCCCAAATCCAGGAAGACTGACTAATCAGTGACATTTCTAGCCATGTTCAGCACTGTGATTCTGTATGGATACAAAAGCGGCAAAGAAAACAGTAGAATAAAAGAACAAAATCTTAAAATATTGATGAAAACTACATTGCTGGTGGGACTGCAAAATGGTATAGCCAATATGGAAAATAATATGGCAGCTTCTTACAAAACTAAATATACTCTTACCATATGATCCCACAACCATACTCCTTCGTACTTACTCTAGAAAAATCTGCACCCAGATGTTTATGGCAGCTTTATTCATAATTTTCAGAATTTGGAAGCAACCAAGACATCCATTAATAAATGGATGATA